ATAACTACAAGGAATATTTCATGATGTGACAGCTAATGTATATATATGAATATATATGTTTATATATACACACATATTTAATGTGTGCATGCGAATGCATCATAGCAAGTATATATATGGGTGTATATACATATTCATCAGGTGCATGTACATATATACGTGTGTTTGTATATATGTTCATGGTATATAACTGAGCATTCCACAAGGGAAAACTATGTATGTGATTTTTGCCAACTCTGATTATTTGTGTGAACCGCAGTGCCCTGTGATGCCAGCTGACAGAACTGGAAAACGGGCAGGTATAATTTGCTTAATTAACTTGAAGTATATGGTATGGAAAGAAGAAGACTGTGATCTGAGTACTGGGACTAGGGGTAAGAACATGTTAGGGCTGAGGTAGCAATGGGGAAGGAGCCTCAGAGTAAGGCCCTCTTGTGGATGCTTTGATTTCTTTGTTGATGCGGAGCTGTCTGTGCCCTCTGCTTAAAACCAGTCAATAATTTGCAGACCTCAAAACATCATCATGGAGGTCGAAGTAGTAAAAAGTATACTATAGAATTTAATTGAATGAAGCCCATCATCTAAACTGTGGCTAATCTTGTTATGAATTTGGCTTTTTTTTTTAGAACCATGTGCAATATGTATTCCTTTCCCTCGAGAATGGCCTATCTATAAGGCGTCAAAATCTTCAATATTATATTATATTTGGGGAACTCTGGTTTCTGAGTTAATGTCATCCTCAAAAGTTGGGTGTTAACATGACATCATATGCCACCCTATGTAGAATGACAATGGACCAGCAGAACTTCAGAGCTGGAAATAGTCTGGCTCCTCATTTTATAAGTGAGGGAAGTGAGACCTAGAAGGACTGATTCACCTGCCAAATGACCAATGAGGCTGTACAGAGTGGGAGGAAAATACAGTTTTCTGATCTTCCGTCCGATACTCTTCTCACCACGCTGGGTGCCTAGCAGAATCTCCGAGCAGCACTGCTCCAGCTTCTAACTCATGTTCTCCCTCACCTTTTCCCGTGTGAGACTCTAGAAGACTAAACCTGATAGCAAATGCCACTTCGGAAACAAACAGCTTAGTGTCATTGTTTCAGAAGCCTTGGTCTGCAAATTGCTTTGATTTATAGATAATTTATTGAGTGATTATCTTATTATTAGACTAATACTTTATTTACTTTTTTATTGGGAAAACAGTCTCAGAAAACTAAGACATTATAGCCTTGAAAAATGGCTATTGGACATGTTCAATTACCATATTTCATAAAATTCTTAAATGTAGAAATTTAGTTGACACATTTTGTATTGTGAATATATATTTAACTGGTAGACTAGAACAGTTCAAATAGAATCATTTACGGTTTATTGAGCAAATAAAAGTGCTTCCATAAAGATTCACGTGACACCGAGCTTTTATTTCAGGTAACTAATTTCTTTTTGAAAAATTGCTTAAATTGAGATTTACAGGAGAGACAACCAGAACACCTCAGCAGTTTAAAAAGTATTTAAACCACCATAGATGTTACAGATTTAAAATATAAAATCAGGTGATGAATATTAACTTTTAATGGGCTCTGATCAAAAGTTATTTAACTGTCTTTTTCTCTCTGTGTTATATTAAAAGTGTTATTATCTATTTTTGGTTATTATTTATAACAAGAAAAATAGTTCATATTTAGTTATTTTTTAACATCTCATTTGGAAATAAAAATTTTACCAGAATTTTTGCTGGCTAAAATCAGTTTGGAGTATAGCCAATGACCCTAGTAACAACAAAAATGTTTTCATGTACACAAAGTTAAATCTGTTTACTTGGTGGAGGGCCTGCCTTTGGGGGTGTGTATCTTTAAGGTAATCTCTTGTTTACATTATTTTTTATGTTTAGGACATAAAGTCCGAAGACTATGTAAAAAGTGAGTCTCTGATTTGAAATACTAAAGAAATGCTCAACACCCCATTTCAAGTTATATAGTAAAATGTTACTTTAGATGAAAGGATTTCAGACAATGGAAAATAGACATATTAAAAAGTAAGATGAGAACAGACCAAAGAGGGACTCTTTGTAGAGCGCCAAGATCCCTAGAATATGAAGGAGAAGGGAGCAGTTAGGGACTGTCCCTAAAGAACCACCTTCCTCATGTGTGGTGTTAGGCTGATGGAGCCACAAAACAAAAGAGGAAACTTCAAGTACAGAATATATGTGTGTGTGTGTGTGTGTGTGTGTGTGTGTATGACATCTTTAATGTTGCAAAACAGGAGTGACTGGTTAGTTGGGCACAGTTGTCTTTCTCTAGACGAGGCATCAAGAAGAAAAAACCCTCGGAGAACACCTGACCTTCCTTCATCTGATTCTGCAGGCTCCTCTCTTCATTTATCATTTTCTTAGACCCATACTTGAAGTATAAAGATGTAACAACAAACTTTCAAAGCCTTCCCTGACAATATTCTTATATCATAACGAAGCACACTAGTGCTGTAACTGAGGTTTATTAAGCAGAAAATCAGGCCCACTGTCTTCTGCTCTGCCAGCATCCCCCTACCCCAGGTCTGGCAGAATAAGTTAGTAAATGGCATTGTCATGTTTACGGAAGCAACACCAGGCAATAATGCTGCCTGTTCAGATGCTCATCTTTTAAAAAAATCAGAAAAGGTGGTTCTTGTGGTAGTGTGGCAGTCAAGGTGTAAAAGAGTATCCCTCCAGCCTCTGGTGTGATGAGGTCTCTGTTCCGGTGCTGAACTGACATGCTCATGGAGTATTAAGGCCGGGCGAGCGAAACCTCTTCAGTGCTGCTAACCAGGGCTAACATGATCTCGGGACTTCTGTCCTTTTGTGGAGATAAGCTGGACACTCCCCTGCGTAGAGCCATCCAAGTGGCCATTTGAGGTGTTTTTTTAACTTCAAGCATAGAGATGATCTCCGTCAACTCTGTAGGCTTGCAATAGAGTATCAAGAAATGAAAAGAACAGAGAACAAAGACAATTGCTGAACTAGGTGTTAGATGCAGCCATTGATTTTTCTCTAGTTGTGTGTTGTTGTTTTTTTAATCCACAGAAATGGTAATGCATACAACAGTTGAATTTCTATGCTTCCCTAAGGCCAGTGATAGCCCCCTTGCTTTCACATGCAGAGACAGTTTTGTCTAACACGACGTAATAAAGCAAGTCCGCAGAGTTCACACTATTTTGTTATCAAAACTGTAAGAGAAACTGCCGAAAAGGAATCTGTTTTTCATTTGAAAAATTCTGCAGTATAGGGTGTGTTTTTAGACTAGACATATCTAGGCAACATTTATTTGCTGAGAATCTGGAAAATTCTGACATACAATTGATCACTATTTTCCCACTATCTATAAATGTTGTAAAACAATACCTCTCCACTTAACTGTAAGACTTTGTTCATGTGAAACATTAACTATTGAGTACTGATGTTACTTAAGTCTGAAATGTATAGTTTCTCAAAATATTAATTCTGTTTTCGAGTACTTCATGAGTGTGTGGATTTCTTAAGTTAGGTTTCCAATAGTTTCTGGATTCCAGTAATGTTTAATATCTGAGACATTATTTTTCATGTTGCAATCTCATATTTTGACACGTGATTTCCAAATGCTTATCCTACAACAGTATTTATTAAAACAAGGTGGTGGCGTTATAATGAAAGGTAAAGGCAAAAAGTTTATCTCACAGCATGTCATGTCTCAGTGTGCTATTTTTTAGAAGTCACTAGGATTGACTTTTTTTTCTTTGTGCTATATTTGTCAATTAAATAAATTAGACTTATGGGTTTGAAAAATGTAAAGCTCTGGCCATTGTGGTCAATGGTTAGAGCATCGGCCTGTACCCTGAAGGGTTGAGGGTTTGATTCCTGGTCAAGCGCACGTACTGGGGTTGCAAGTTTGATCCTTGGCCCCTGGTCGGGGCTCGTATGGGAGGCAGCCAATTGATGTGTCTCTCACATCTAGGTCTCTCTCTTTTTCTCTCTTCCTCCCTCCCTTCACTCTCTAAAAATCAATGGAAAAAATGTCCTCAAGTGAAGATTAATAAAAAAAAAAAGAGAGAGAGGAAAAAAGAGAAATGTAAATATCCACAGTTCATTTTCTAAGCAGTATAATCTTCCATGTTATGTAGCATAAGGAAATAAACACTCTTAGCACCGGTTTCTGTAAACTGCCAAGATGGAAGCAGAGGTAAAAGTGCCTGATTGCATTCACTCTTTGATTCAGTCACTTTATAAGTTTTTTTTTTTTTTCTTATCCTCACCCAAGGGCATTTCTGCATTTATCCTCAGATAGAGAGGAAGGGAGAGAGGGAGGAAGAGAGAGAGAAACATCGATATGAGAGAGACACATCGAGTGTCTGCCACCCACACAACCCCGACCGGGGCTGGGGACAAACTGCTACCGAGGTACGTGCCCTTAGTGGGAACCGAACCCAGGACTCTCTGGTCTGCGGGCCAACGCTCTAACCGCTGAGCCAAACTGGCCAGGGCAACTTTATAAGTTTTATACAGACTTTCAGTGTTTATGACAGAACGAATGAGAGATGCAATCACAATTGGAAAATAATTTAATATTTGTGATTATATAGATCAGATAAGTGATTTTCAACCCGTGCGCTGTGGCATGCCGGTGTGCTGCATGACTGTGTAAAAGAACATGCAGTGCCTGACTATGCAGTCGGGGCACTGACCTCCTTTCCCGTAGATGTCAAATAAAAATGACAACAGCCAACACAACAATGGCCAACCGGTGTGAATGAATCAAATTATGCCTATTTTTTTTGTCAGATTGAAAAAAAATTATATTTTTTAGTGTGCTGCAGAATTTTAGTAATTAATTTATGTAATTACTATGAGATGAAAAAGGTTGAAAATCGCGGGATTGTATAAATGGCATTTCATATTACAGTGATTATTAGTCTTCTTTGTTTATGGTTTTAGACTCTGTTTAAGAGTTTTCAGTTCTATGTTTATTATTATTTTTTTTCATATCACAGACAGGATCACGAGACCATTCAAATCTCTCAGTTCCTTCAAGAGCTACTCTTCCTGCTGACATGATTGGTGTTGGGGAGTTTCTACCTCTGAAAGCTGAACTTGATACAACTTACACCTTCTTAAAGGAGACATTTATAAATTCTGCGCCCCTGACATCATCTCACTCCTCTCCAGTAACTATGTCTGCTAATGCCAAAAGGCCAGCTCAGATTGGATTATGACTTTATGAAATAAAAAAAAAAAAAATGCAGGAAGAGTTAACAGTACAATTACAATTGTTTTCAAGGGGGATTTTCTTATTAGTTGAGTTTTGTTTCAACGCAAGTGGCAGTGGGTTTTTGAAAATTGTGTGACATCTTGATGTATACAGGTACTATCTGTGTCTCCTTGAATAATGAAATAACCAACTTTTCCCCCCTCTAAGTTTTATTTATTATCACAGTTGCTCATTTTTATGTAACATATTTTTAAATGTTAAAGAATGACACATTTTGGGTAATTTCCTTCAGTCTTAAAAAAATCAATAAGCCATTTTAGTCTCTATCTATCAAAGTTGTTTCATACTTGTCTATTTTAAAGCAGGGCTGCGATACTTTAATAGGATTGAGAGAGCTATTCGAAATGTATGCCAATGATTCCTGTCATTTCATGGCAGCCCTGCCATGGTTCACTGAGCCCCCTCTTCTCTCTTGTCAGCTCAACTGAAGACAAGCATTTAGTTGCAAACTTTAAGCAGGTTGTGCAAAACAGAAATGATGTGACTGCTTTTCCTCCTGCACAATAATGTCACTCCTGGTCAATGTGAGAAGGTCAGGTTGCTCCTTGTAAAGCTACATGATACCACTTGCCCATTTGAACAAGTTCAGTTAACTGCTGAATCTGGTCCCTGCAGGCATTGGAAACTCACCCTTTTATCAAGTCAGCATTTGATAAGAAAGTGGAGCTATTGTGCTGGGGAGATTTCTGTGGTATGTTTAGGCCCTTTTTAAGGACAGTTCCCACACCAGTATAGCAGGTAATATATTTAGTATAAGCTGAAAAACTTCAAGGTAATGACTGTTTTGACCTTCAAAATAGACTCCTTTTTTGTTTTTGTTATTGGTAGGACCCCAGAGTGACGCCCATCTTTGATGCTGACAGAATTTAAAACAAGGCCATTGCCCTGTATTTTCTGCCTTGTAGCACACAAAAGTAAAATTGTATGTCAGGCCGAGATGTCGGGGAGCTGACAAGATGCCCCAGTGACATTTCAGCTAGAAAGAGCAAGTGTCTTGCAACCAAGTGGTCAAATATCAAATAATAGGTCAAGCAGGAAGGAGCTGAGTTCTAACCACAAAGAGGTTTCTGGTAACTTACTTGACAAGCTTTTGGGCGCTTTGTGGCTTGACAAAGTGATGTTCTGTGGGGTATCGCTAGACAGACTGTTCTTTATCGCCTTCAGAAGATCAGACATTGACATTGATTAAACTCTTTAACCCTTAAAGGTTATATCCTAGCAGTTTGCATCATGGTAAGTGAAGAACAAAAGAATATTTGTAATGTGTATTTGTTTTTTGTATTAATCATTTAACTCCCAGTGATATTAACTTCTCGTGTGAGCTGTAGTTTTTGACAAAGAGTTTTGGTGCAAAAATCTTATTTTATATTATTTTACATCATGGAGTTTGTTATTACGGATACATTAGAAAATAACAGTATGTATTATGAAATCTATATTGTCTTAACTTTACAGCGACATTTGATTCAAACACACCCAACTTCTGAGATTCTTTTAAATTGGCCTTGGTAAATAAAACTTGTATTCTTACTGTTTATGTTGTTAGACAAATTAGTGATTTGTGCCATCAGAGGTAACAGCATATTGCTGTCATCTTGGAGCACGGTGCGGTTCTCGGGGTGCTGAGCCAGTGTGATTAGCGTGAGATAGCAAGCTGTTTATGGGGAGTAAAATCACCTCTTTAACCAAATTTCTCTGAATTCTTTCCTTGGAATTTTTTTATTCTGGATTGTGAGTATTACAGTATATGCCCTATGTAATGGAACATGCATGAAATTCAATTTGCAAATTTATTGTAAAACAGAAAATGCTATTGATTGGTTTTATATAGATCATAAAGTACTTTCTGCACATTTCTAAACACTTTTTCTGCCAGTCCATACAATGAGTAAGATACTGTCTATATAGAAGTTGATATGCAGCTTTTTAGTTCTTGTAACATCATTTAGATTTCAATTCTCACATAATCAAGTGTTACCTTAGGTCACTTACATGTCTGTGTGTTTGTGTATACGTATGATTGTATTGTACCTATTTACAGATCCTACTATTTTAAGAGGAATGAGAAGTTTTATAAACTTTACATGGACAGACTTTATCTGTTAATGGGATAACACCAAAAATAAATGTATATATCTCTTCATATGTGTGGGTATCTGATTTTCCAGGTACATTTTATGCAGTAAATTCTGAACTATAAATTCAAAAAGATTATTAAGTCAAATCAGAGCATGTCACATTTATAACAAACTGGATGCTAAAGGCCATGGAGACAAAAGGGTGAGCCTTCTGAGTGAGCATTTGTACTCATTACTACATACGTACTGGTTATACCATATGCTTCCCCCCGCAGAAGCCAGACCCAGCAGGAGGATAAGATTTAATAACAAATCCTATGGAGATCTGAGACACTCTAGTCTGTGTCCGAGCACCTTAGTGACCAGTGCTGCATACTTGAGATCTGTGTTGTGTTGGCAAGGACATTTGCTATATCAGCTTCTTTGCCCCCTTAAGAATGATGTAAAAACTAGGCATTTCTCAGGACAATGACTTAAAATTCTTTTATAGGGGAGGGGAAATTTTACTTCATAGCTTAGTATATGGGTTTTCGTAGTAGCCGTCTGTGATCTAGAAAAATACCCGTATGATCCATCACTATCAAAGTGATTCTTAAAGTTACTATTTGATACACAAGTCACAATTATTTACTGAGGATTTGCAGTAGTTTTAATATAAACTTTTCGCAATGACATAATAAATACAAAGAGGTTTAGGAAATTGCAAGAATTGTCAATTCAGTAATTTTTTTTTGAGAGGAAGGGCGAGGGAGAGAGAAACAGAAACATCGATGAGAGAGAACATTGATCAGCCAGCTCCTGCACACCCCCCACTGCGGATCAGGCCTACAACCTGGGCAGGTGCCCTGACTAGGAATCAAACTGGCGACCTCTTGGTGCGTGGGTCAACGCTCAGCCACTGAGCCACACTGGCCGGGCAGCCAATTCTAGTAATTTAATGACATAGATAAATAACCTTTTAAATAGAAAAAGAAGGATAACTTTAATTTGCCAAATGTCTGACTCTTGTTAAACTTAGCAACAGTATTTTTCACATTTATAATATATGCTGTTGTCGAGTGCTCAGTGAGATCATTACTATTGTCATCTTTCTATATTTACCAGTTAAATCTGAATTCACTCTATAGATCATTACTGAACAATGGTAAATTGATCCTATTTTATTTTGTGCTTCTTATAGACAAGTTTTAAAGATGGAAAGTAAATAATATTTATTGAGCAACTATTCTATGCCAGCCATTATAACAAAACTCTGTGTTCTCACAGTAACCTCTGGAGTAGGTATTTGCATCACCATTTTATAGGTAAACAACTGAGTATCTAAAATGTTAAGCATTTGGCTACTGAAGATCACACAGAACCTAGTAATCAGCAAGCCCAGAGCTTTAACTCCAAAGCCCACACAATTTCCATTTTCCCAGGCCTGTTTTCCAGTATTAATTAGCACATTTTAAGAGGAGAAAAACTTTTTAAATTGTCCTGGCCAGTTAGGAATTATTTGGAGAAGTATGTTTTGGTTTGAAATTTAGATCATTTATCCATTAATTAGACAAAATAAGACAAAAAGACACTCATCCACCCCTATGACTAGTAACGGGAAGAACAGTGAAGTTTGTACCCATCTTTCAAAGGGCCCAGCAGCTTCATCGTGTTGCCCAGGGCCTCAGCGTGGCGGAGGGGCTGGACTCAGCTGTCTGCAGGTCCATGGCGTGGCGGAAAGGTGTCGATGGTGAGCACCTGAAGCTCTGCCTTCCCAGTGCGAACGGTGGATGTGCTGAGTAAAGCTGATCAAGAAAGCGGTAACTTGTGAACGCCTAGGATGGAGATGGCGATTTAAAAAATAAAATATAGCCCTGGCCGGTTTGGCTCAGTGGTTAGAGCGTCGGCCTGCGGTCCTGAGAGACCCGGGTTCGGTTCCCGCTAAGGGCACGTACCTCGGTTGCAGTTTGTCCCCGGCCCTGGTCGGTCGTGCGGGTGGCAGCCACTCGATGTGTCCCTTTCACGTCGATGTTTCTCTCTCTCTCTCTGTTCCTCTCTCTCCCTCCCACTCTACCTGAACAAAAAATGGAAAAATGTTCTCGGGTGAGGATAAAAAAAATAATAATAAAATAAAAATAAAAAATAAAATAAATCTTTTGGACTAGTATGGTAGACTGAGTAATGACCCCGAAGATTTCCATGTCCTAATCCTGGAACCCGTGAATGTCACCTTACATGGCAAAAGGGACTTCACAGGTGTGATTAAGTTAAGGACCTTGAGGTGGGGAGATTAATCACCTGGGTGAGCCCCAAGTGCAATCAGAAGTGTCCCATAAGAAGGGAGGCAGAGGGTGATTTGACTACAGAGCAGAAGACGATGCGAGAGGGAGCCGGGGGCTCTGAGGACGCGCAGGGCCGAGCTGAGGAACACAGGTGCCGCTGGGAGCTGAAGGCCGGGAAGCGGGCTCCCTCAGAGGCTCCGGGCCGGTAAGAGAGCACATTTGTTTTCAGCCGCAAGATTACAGTAATTTGCTACTGCAGCCAGAGGAAATGAATACCACCAGTAAACTTTTAGTGTGTTTTTTAAAATATTAATACATTCATCTTTCAGTATTTTCAAACAGAAGAATCATTCCTTCTTTTAAATTATCCTGATCAGTTGCCTTCATCACTTAATTTCCGAATCATTTTTAGGTTTTCATTTTCTGCTCCTGGCTTCTGCATATAGGAAACAGTGATTGTCTATATTGGGGCATTTTGTCACTCTCTATTGTCATCAATCTTGATCATTTTAAAAATTAACCTATGATTTCAATATGTATTTTAATTTATATCATTTTAAAAAAGTATCATGCTTTAAATGTATTAAATTTATCTTGAAGGTTGACTTTACATGATTACTTTTATTTGATTCCACTTTTGTTGGCATAGTTTTATAGCTTTCTTTACAAAAGAAATTTAATCTCGAAAGAATTTATATTAATCATAGCTTAAAATAATGATTTGGGATTTATAAATTGTATCTTAAATTACCGGAGCATTTTCCTTTACTGTTTTTACCCATGAGTTCAACAT